CAGCTTGCTCTGGGTGGAAGGGAGCAAGCGGCATCAGGACATAGCCCCTGTGCCCGCATCAGCATTGGGAGCAGGGACTCTGTTCTACCGCCATTTGCCAGCTCATGTGGGAGGGCATGGGATGCGGGCATGGCAGCTCTGGGAGCAGGGCTGAGCAAGTGGCAGCAGGGCAAAACCCCCTCTCCAAGTGCTGCAGTGCCCGTATCCCATGCCCCACTCCCCCTCCCCAAGTAGCGCGCTGCCCCACCCCAGCTGGGCAGCTTGTCCCAGCCCCAGCCTCAATCTCTCCCTCCCCAATGTCTCTTCCCTCCCCCTCTCCCCCAGCCCCAACAGACTTACCAGCCAGGGGCAGCTGTGTCAGGCAGCAGGGCAAAACCCCCTCTCCAAGTGCTGCAGTGCCCGTATCCCATGCCCCACTCCCCCTCCCCAAGTAGCGCGCTGCCCCACCCCAGCTGGGCAGCTTGTCCCAGCCCCAGCCTCAATCTCTCCCTCCCCAATGTCTCTTCCCTCCCCCTCTCCCCCAGCCCCAACAGACTTACCAGCCAGGGGCAGCTGTGTCAGCTGCCTGTTTAGTCTAAGTCCAAATCTCTGAAGCGGCACCAAATCTTTCGGATTTGATTTGGCCAAATCAAATCGGGACAGTGATTCGAACCTCCGAATTGAATCACTGTCCTCCGAATCGGCTGAATCCGAAGAGAATACTTGCCACTTCACACAGGCCTAGTACACATATATTTGGACCCAGGAGCTTAAAAGTAGTCATAACTGTAAAAGGAGATACATGTTTCATTATATCCATGAAATCATTACATAGAACATTCCTAGGTCGTACACTCTGCTTTTCAAGTCAATTATAGGGTTAATACATTGATTTGTACTAAAAATGGCTGATTTATTCCCATTGTGTGAGATTCACTTACATCAAGAAAGAGAGCACAAAGCCCAAGACAAACAAGAAGCTCAGTCTCATTTAATTTTCTAGTTGATACTACAGAATCTTTCCCACAAACAAATGCACTATATGTAAGGGGTGCATATGATTTGTACTGACTTTGAATAAAGGATGAAATCTTTTCTACATGATTTTAGTAACATCTTATTCTTTTACATATTATACTTATCTACTGGTATTTCAATTGCCCTCTACTACATCTGCATCTTTGCTCCATAGGTTTACTGCCCACGTTCCCCTTTTTAAATGGCTATTTCCATTTATATAATAAAGTTAACCAGAAGTTATTGTTTTAACTGAGCAAGGTTTATTTGGTGATTTTTTTTATTGGACCAACTGCACATTCACAAATAAACCTTCTTGCTTCTCAGATATTTCCTGGGCCATTATGGCTACAGCACAATTCAAACCCTACTACCTTTTTATTTGGTATTTAGTTTAGGTTATGCCTGTTTCTGTCTCAGACCAGCTGAAGAACATTTTATGCCCAAAAGCTTGTCTGACATTTTCCCCAACCATATAGTTTGTCTAATGAAAGATATTGCCAAACAAGCTGCGCTCCCCTACACAAGTTTAAATAAGCCTATCGACTTTCTTAGAATAATAAATTCTCACTGTGGGACAGTTTGATTACATCAGTGGAAAGGTCATTAGTTTCTATTGAATTATAGTGGTGCCTACTATGGAACCTATAAACAAAGACTGTAATCCAAAATATCATTAAAACAGACAAACTCCTGCATTGTTAAAAATGAAGTGGCTCCCAGTGCAGTATTTAAGACCTTTAAAATTGCTATATAGTTTCTGTTTGGCTTCTAACTATAATTTTTAAACAGGAAGTGTTTGAAATTGGGCTCTGGCTGATATTTGTCCTTAGCAGTCCAACCATCCATAACTCCAGGTCTTTTAAAAAATTATCTATTTTTTATAATTACATTCATGTAATGTTAAAAGATCTGTCAATCATCAGACACAAACACACACACGCGATTGATCGATCAATCTATCTACATCATATATCCGCCCAAAGTTAGGCAGGCAGATATATCCTGAGTTTATCAAGTAGTTTAAGAACCCTTCTGAATTGGAATCCATTTAGAATAAATATGAAGTATGTCCTCATTTTTTTCAAAATAATGTTAATGGAGGCACCTGTTTCTTTCTTCGCTCCCCCCACCCCCACTACTTCAAATTTGTAGGCACTGGTCTTGCAAACATTTATGACCATGCTTAATTTATACACAAGTAGTCTCATAATACTCAGATGATTTTTTTTTAATTTTACCAGGACTCAGATTTTCTATGACAAATCTAAATTTGGCAGCAAACAGCCTCTTTTCACAAAAAAAACTCATACATTCTGACAAAAGCCCAATTTTCTGTGTGGAAACAGTTGCTATGAATACCTGTCTTAATTCTAAGCAATTTTACCCCATTAGCCTTTTAGAATGTATACTATTTAATATTGCACTTATTTAGACATGCAATTGTAATAGTTAATAGAAAATGTGCAGTCAATATCTGAAACATATTTACCATAGAACAATGTACTACTCCCTTATACACTTAACAGTTTACTCCCTTTAGGAAAAAGGAAACAGTAGATTTGAAATACACAGCCGAAAGCCAAATATCTATTTTCTTCCAGTTCAGGGAAAGGTCTTCACAAAAACCCAACTGATTAAATTTCCCTTGGACTTGATGTAAGTCACTTAAGAGCTTCTAAATGTTTTATCTTAGTTTTCATCTTTACTCTGAGCATTTTTGAAAATCCACTCCTAACAGTGTGATCAGAAATTATTCAGAAAATTTAGCTAACATCCAGAAAATATTACTGGAGGATTCTGTCTCTGACAGAAAAGAAATCTTATCATTAGCACACAGGACAGGTCTGAGGTATATTACATGTAGATATAGATGCAGATCTTCTAGTTCATTGTGAACAGGGAGTACTAATAGTTCAAGGATAATTTAAAATGTTGGGGAGAAATAAGAGACAGTCCAGTAATAGGATTTGAGTAGATGGCCTAGTCCATGTTTCTCTGGAAATGAGAACACATACAACAGAACTGAAAAGCCAGATTAGCAAAGTGGTACCAAGTACAAGCAAGTTTTAAGTATGAAGTGAATAGTCCCATTCTATTCAGTCAAAAGCTCTCTCAGCTTCTATCAAGTCATCTGCCACAAGGGAATTCAGTTTATTTGCCAGGTGATAATGTTGCACACAGTGTTCAGGTGTTTGTAAAATCTGTTTTTGACAAATCCCACTTGGGAGGTATATATAATGCATGGAACTAATGTTTCCTAGTAACTGCATTAATGTTGTGGCAAATATTTTGTACCCAAATTTGAGAGCAATGCTCCATTAATTAGTTCAGACCAAGGGATCATAATCACATTTTAGAATAAGGATAAACAGTTTTATATAAAATTGGCCAAATTTAGGTAGTTTGTATATAGGAACAGTAAGAGGCACATCCCTGGAGCCAAGACAGGCTGCCTTCCTGGCCCAAAAGGCAGGGGTCACATGGGGAATTGTTGGGTAAAGCTGGGAGCTGAAGTGCTAACAAAACTCTATCATGCTTATAAATCTCAGAGGTGAAACCAGAACTCAGGTTTTGTGGTTGTAAGAGAGGAAAATCTCATTATAATGGTATTGTAAGAGTCCCTAACAATTGTTGACCCACTTCTCTCTGTTTTCCAATAATGTCTTATCTCTTCCAAATATTTAGGAGAAAGATAATCATGCACTCATTACATACCAAATGGATAAAAATAAAAATAAAGGATGGATTCTTACTTCTAATGCATAAGTCACTGTTGAAAATGGATTTATATTAGGGATTGGCAACCTATGACCCATTGGCTGGATCCAACCAATGGAGTAAGTTTATCCAGGCAGTGAAGCCCAAATATCAGCAGTGGGGTGGGGCTTCTGCAACAAAAGGGGATTCACAGACATAGCAATGGCTGACCTAGAAATGTTGGCCCGCCATGAAATGAACGGCATTATTTTGACCAGCTGCTCCTGAAGGTTACTGAACCTTCATTTATGTGCTTAACCCTCTTGGGCACTTTTGTTATTTCTACCTTTTGTGCCAATAGGGTTGAACTCTTAATTTACTAGTAATTTGGAAGTACATTTAAGAGAGTTAATTTATAACATCTCAGGATCTGGGCCCATATTAAAGCTTAATCATATAAAGGAGATTTGCAAAAGTGTCAATGGAATATAAAAACACCAAACCCATTTCCTTGCATTAGGAAACTGTCAATGCAGGCTACATTGATATATGTATAATTTCAGTCAAGCTTAGAGTATTGACAGAGATTTCCACTGGGTTATCTCTAAACAGATTTAAAAAACACACACCTTTAAAAATAGTGAAAGTGCAATTTTTTTAAGTAGAGCAGGCAAAAGCTAATGAGCTACACTTAAATGCTAATGATTCCTCAGTGCCAGCTGGTGACATGATACAGAGGAAATTTGTTCATGTGGGTTTCTAGAGTAGAGAAAACATTATCTTATGAACTCTGCAGAGAGTTTCCTACCTGTGCAGATGGGGCAAGGGAAAGGAAGCAGAAAGCTTCCAGTATGCTAACCAATTTCCACCCAGCTTCTTATCAGGACTTCATTAACATTGAATATGAGATAGAAACAAGGTTAAGGTAGTATTTTAATCTCTAAACCCACTGAGTCAGCATGACAGTAACATACAACTCAGAATTAATGAAGACATGGGAGAATGTTTGCATTGCAAGAGGGAGACAAAGATAACAGAAGGTGAAAGGTCAAGTCCATTAGCAGAAAATAACATTTTAATTCAGGCTGCATTTCAGGAGTTTAGCCTATTCTCAGTGTGTCCACAGTTGACTAACCTGCTGCTAAACAACCACCCTATTCAAGGAAGAAGAGAATAGTGGGTGTAACTCACCATTACTAAAATGAATTGTGCTAGTCTCCCTTTTCTTAAGCTTATAAAAGGAACAATAAACTCGATGAATAAAAGGGTTTATTTAGAAAACTCACCCTCTATTCACAACTCACCTGAAATTTCTTCTTTGCCACAAAATACTGCATCCTACGTATCACCTTAATGGCAGCACGGTGGTGTTCTCGCAGCCTGTGGGAAAAACGAGAAGGGTGAGTCAGGCAAAAGAGAGCATCTCCAGCCAGATAATAACAATAACAACTTTCAGTAAGTGCTTCAGAAACAAGTGAATGTTCATGCAAGAAGCAACAATTCCCACTGTGGACACAACACACCATTATTTTGGCCAAAAAGAAAACGAAAAAAAAGAGAGACTGTTAAAACCTGGAACTTAATCTTTACGATTTATGCTCAGACTGAGTGTACTTCGCAATGTTAAGTGGTGACCATATGAATCCCTTCCTATGTCAGGTAACACCTCCCTCCCCCGCCCCTCATTGTTTTTGCTATCTTTCCTTCGAAAAAGCCCAGCTACAAACTAATAGAGAACTGGCTCTCGGGTTTCCATATGTACTTCAATGCCCTGTTCCATTTGCAAGTGCTCCAGTGCTGTAGCCTACTGTATAACATTTTTGCCTAAACATTTTGCAAAGTTTTTCTCCACTTGAATGGATTTATCCTTCAGTTCTCTCTCTCTCTCTCTCTCTCTCTCTCTCAAGGACTCTGGACTGATTAACTGCAAGGGAATGAATAGTTGTAAAAGTTTCATACACCACCAGTTGTCCCAAAACTAAACCATAAATTAATATAAAGAACAACCAAAATAATCCGGATGGACTTTAACAGGAAAAAATCACTAACCAGAAACAGAATCAAGAAAAAGTTTGTTGCCGAGTAGTTTACAATAAGTCACTACTGTAAACTATTTAGTTTTCAAAACACACTGTATTAAATACTACAATTTGTTATCTTTTATAATTCATAAGGAACTGGTTTTTCAGTATAGTTTTAATTTTTTTTAAACATTTATAAAATGATAATCTTTTCCTTATAGTTATAATAAGGCTTGTACTGATGATTGTGTGTGCTTATTCATTCTTATGGCAAACAATCTTAATCTTGTAAAAGCCCATTTGAGTGGCATTAATGTAGTTTCTTCTCCATTTAAAATACATCAATTAACAATAAATCATTGAATTTTCTTCCTAGTAGAGTTCAATGCTTTTAGTAGCTACTAATGAATGAAGACAGAGCAGAGTTGGCCTTACTTAAGATTTTTCCAAAAGCATTATCTTTGTAACTTATTATCGGTAACAATGATGATTATTTACTTATACTGATGCAGGCTTCAGCTGCTACTGTGCAGTGTTGTCCTGACTGTATTGAGTTGACAGCCTTCATATCCTTTCTGAGATGGGAACATCACATAAAGATCCTTTGCATGTTTGGGTTTCTTGCATAGTACAACTCAACACTATTAACCAAACCTCTTGAGTCACATAAGCACTTTTTTCAGAGCATCTAAAAAATTTTCTTGGGGCATGTTTCCTCTGGTCAAAGCTTTCCATTGTGAAAATGATGAAACTACTTTGTGGGCAATTATAGTTCTACTTTTGTAGCTCATTCAGTAAAAAACAGCATTCCTTGAGGAAAACAACATCCTTTTCTGCCTGCAAAAACTGCCTCATTTTCATTTAAAAAAAATCAGAATGAAGAATTCTACTTTTTCAGATACAACGATTGTCATTCAGCGTGTGGGGGCATCCTGGGATGCTGCCAAATCCTTTGAAGTGTGAGGTACGAGGAGAAAATCAGATAACCTAAGGAGATATATGCAGGCTCAGACTTGTCCCTGCCTAGTCCACCTGTAAGAAGGTAAGCACTGTAATATGTACATTAGTTTTTGGAATTGGGTGCTCATTTCACAAAAGTTATGGAGGGGTAACTTGAGTACAAAAAGCTTGAGTACCACACACTAGAAAACATCATTTATTTTAAAGTCCTGGTGCAAGTCTTCTCTACAAGTTACTATGTGAGGTAAGGCAAGGTTCTTTGGGTAGATGTGATAGCTTTTATTTAATTAGACCAACTAAATAGTTGGAAAAAAGTCCCTGCTTGCTAAGAACATTTTTCCAACTATTTACTTGGTCTAATCAAATAAAAGCTGTCACCTCTACCCAAAGAACCTTGTCTGCCTATGTCCTTAGACCAGAGCTTTCCAAACTTTTCATGTTGGTGACACACTTTTTAGACATGCATCATTTCGTGACACAGTAATTCAGTTCCGGGGGAGGGGCCAAGGGAAGCAGACGCGAGTAAGGGAGCTCCGCGGTGCCCTTCCACAAAATTTTCTGCATTTCGCGCGACACACCTACACACTGCCGCTGACACACTAATGTGTCGCGGCACACAGTTTGGAAAGCTTTGCCTTAGACCAACATAGCTACAACCAACAACCCTGTTATGTGAGGTAAGGAGCTTTTATTTAGCTAGATACCTAGCCATTAACCTTTGAAAACCATGCTTTCGGGGTATAATTCTGCACCTGGATCTGTCTGCATATGCAGACCCTTGCTCCTTTCTGATACCCTATTAGTCTCTCTCAGTAAAGTTTTATACAGGTACAGATGCCTCTGCTCATTCCAGGGAGGATCATGGTTCAAGAGAATAGGAACAGAAGTGCAGTCCTCTCAGCTGGAACAGAAGTTTCATTGGGATAACTCCCAGGGAATGGATGTACCTAACTGAAAGTGTTATCTTACATATCCATCCTTTGGGTCATTATTTTGGCATCTATGTGCCTTGCAATTCCTGCTTAAGCAGAAAGTCACTGTTTTTTAACTCTACTAGTTAGGTTTCATTTAAGTGCCACTGGTCATGTGATTTTTACCTTGCTATTAAATAAGCATAGGTATGAAAGTCTGAACTGTACTATAAACATAATAGTAACCAAAAAAAATATGAAAAAAAATGACAGTAAAATACTTTGGTGTGATTTTGTTTTGTACTTTATTTAATTTGGGATCTTTTCTTCAAGCGTGTTAGTTTTTAGACATGTACACACAGCTGCCAATAATGTCAATGGAATCATCAAGCTTCTCTAAGAGAATCTCTCTCATAAATGAGATAGTCATCAATTAGAATAATAAGGTATCCATTGGGGATCTTCATTACATGATACTAGATGGTTTTCCAAAGCAACCACTTTTCAATCAATCCTTTCCCCCCACCTTATTCTTCATACCAGGACTCCAACAGCACTGCCTCCCCCCAATTCACCCACCACGTTTTTATTGCTAATACTGACAATGTTAATTCTGCATACAAGGCTCTGCTTATTCCCAGAAATTAAATACTTTTGTAATGAGAAAAGGGAATAAGGAATTTAATTAGTAGCCAAGGTTATGATTCACAGTTGTTTGATCTTTTGAGCAAACTAGTAACTTTAGTAAATTCTGAGCTTAAACATTAACTGATGCAATTTGTTTGTATGACCATTTGCGACACATCTCTAATCTCTAGACAGACAGCTGGTGTATTATCATGTCTATAATGCATTAGGTCCTCTTAGAATTGCACATCTGTCACCTAGCCATACAGCCCATTATCATTCTCAAAGTAGGGTTTTCATTAATACATTTCAGGACACAAGGAGCAATGAAAATTTTTAAAAGTGCTTCTTGATATAGGTAGCAACATTCCTTCACTGGCTGTGGGCCAGGTTCTGCAAAGTGGGCTGGAAATGGCTGATGGAGAACTCTTTTTGTGCAAAGGAAATTCCCCATGGATGGAAAACAGAGGTAATTTTACCTCCTTCCTCACATCTTGTGCAGAAGGTTCACAGGGGATGTGGGGTTGCAGAGATCAGATCTGCCATGCGACTGTCCACAGGCCAGTGACAAAGTGGGACTCCTCTGAACACCATGGCTACCTTATGCTAGGGCTGGGATTATGTGATGATGAGTGGTAGCCGCTGCTGGGGACTGTATGCTTTTGAAAACCTTCTCGTTTCATTTTAGTCTCTAAAGGAAGTGGGGTAGACTTAACATTCTGGCCTCTCGATTTTATGGGATTGGATTTAGCCAGCTTTGGCAAAGAGTTCATTGATGAATATACCATGGGTAGGTCAGAGAGCAGGAAAGGCGAGGTGAGATTTAAAAAAGATTCAGAGTTATTTAATATTTTTTGCAAGCCAATAACAAACAACACACACACACACACACACACACACACACACACACACACACACACACACAGAGTTGCCTTTCATAAAGATATTTACATAAAGCCATGCATTAAGGTTAGGTGTTGTGTGGCACTATTAGGAAACACATGGCCATTGCTGAAGAGACTTGTATTTGTTTTTGCCTAATAACGAGTGGACACAGTTGACACATTATCTTAAAACAAGCTGAAGAGGATTTTATGTCTGTAAAATCCAGACTGAGCTTCAAGTAACACCTCAGTTGAATCTTGCTGAAGAGAAGTCAGGTAAACTTTTATTTTACTTTGGTGCAGGGAAGGCAGTGGTGGTGGTGGCACTACTGGGAGGGGTGACTATGGGGGGCTATGGGGAATTTTGGGGTGGCTATAGCCCCCCCAAACCCCTTCCCCCAGTGCCACCCCTGCTGGCAGGGCATGCGGCAGGGCGGGGAGCTGCTTTGGATCCCAGCTGCAACCTTGCAGTGGTGACAGTGTGGTCCAGAGCCAGGGCAGGGCGATGACCTGCAGCCTGCATGCCCTGGGCAGGTGCATGCAGGCAGTGGGCCACGGCTCTGCCCTGGTTCTGAACCATGTTGTCACCACTGCAAGGAGCCAGGGAAGAGCCGCAATCTGCTGCTGTTTTGCCCACCCCTGCCTTAGACCAACACAGCTACAACCATCACCTTTATTCACCTGTGTTACTTTTCTGGATCTGAATAATTTCAGAGACTGTAGCTGACCAAATTGAGTTTTCCTGGGGACTACTCACATATGCAGAGCTAAATACATGGCAGGATTCAGCCTCAGATTATTTATACCCTCTGCATAGATTCTCTTACTCTAGGTATGTGTATCCAAGGGCACACTGGTAGCTTAAATAAATGAAAAAGTTAAAAGAATATAACAATAAAACGGTCCAGTGTCCTATGCCAGACTGATTCTTCTCTTTTTTTCCGTTATGTAAGGCATGTTACAACTCTGTATATTTA